TCTTTTAGTTTAAAAAAAAAAAAAACAAAAAAGCAAACTTTCCAGTCTTGTTCTACCTGGAATACATTTTCTCTTCTGGGGCCCCTCCCCAGGCTTCTGCACTCTCTGTCAACACAGTGAAAGCCATCCCCTCCCTAGCCGCAGGCACTTGAATGAAGCAGTTCTTTGCTCCACCGAAGGAAATATTTCCATGGAGTAGGGCCAAGAAAACCCCTTGCTTGAATCCGGGGCTGGCCCACACCCAAAGCCTGGGGGGCCTGGTGGGGGTGGGGTGAAGCCACGTGGCAACCTTTTCCTAGTGTCAGGATGTGACTTCTAAACCCAACCCATGGCAGTGGGCTGCTTCCCCAAGACCCCATTTTTAGCCTACCTTGTCCTCTAGCAAATGGATTTCTGTAGGTCCCTCCTAGAGAAATAAAACTATTGAAGTTCACTCTTTTTGCTCTGATCAACTTGGGATTTTTTTCACCATGTAGGCAAGTTCAAGAGAGCCCTTCCAAAAGCCAGACGTGGCTGCATAGCTGCCCCCGGCACCCCTATGCTTCTCAATACCAGTGACCCATGCATGAATGCCTCTATCTAGGAACTATGCCCTATGCTATGCAGAAGATGAATTCAGAGTCTCTTAATTTTTATTTACTTACTAGAAGAAGATTTTACAACTGATGTCACTAAGGAAGAGGCTAAAATGGTCAATCTTGTTGGACTGCTGCATTTTTTTTTTTTTTTTCTTTTAGAGATAGTTTCTTGCTATGTGGCCTACCTGGCCTTGAACTTCTGGGCTCAAGTCATCCTCCTGTCTCGGCCTCCTGAGTAGTTGGGACTACAGATGTGCCACAACACTTGTCTTGGGACTGCTGCCTTAAAAAAAAAGTGCACATTTTGAGAGTAATAAATGCCATTAGAGAAATTTGTAATAGTAGAAAGAAAAATCACCCAGAATCTCTGCACCTAGAAAAACTAATAACATTTGGGGTATTACTTTCCAATTCTTTTTCATTGGCCCTAGTTATGAAAAGTAGCCCTAAAGAGCAATGTCTACCTTCTCTCTCATATACTCCCGCTTTGTAGGGTTAGATGAGGAGAAGGACAACAGTTTATTGTAGACCATTTACTCTTGGGTTGCAACTGGCCAGTGGTGACAAATAGCTGGGACTACAGGCACCCTTCACAACACCTGTCTAGTATTTCTATTTTTAGTAGAGATGGGGTCTTATTCTTGCTCAGGCTGGTCTCAAACTCCTTAACACAAGTAATCCACCCACCTCGGCTTCCCAGAGTGCTAGGATTATAGGCATGAGCCACCACACTGGGCCCATTTCCTCTAAATCCTTGACTACTTGGTGCCCAGTCTCACAGCATATGGATGACGAAGATATTATACATGACCAATGACAGGCTTCCCTTTGTCCCACCAAAAACAAACAAACAAACAAAAAAAACAGCCTTATGCAAGACCCTCCATATCCTCTGCCGCTTCTCTGACTTTGGCTGAAGTCTACGGTGAAATGGAAGGTGGGGTGTTCAGGGACATGCAATTTTAGGAGACTTGAATTGCCAGAGGCTGGGGTTGGAATTACAATTTAGGATTGTAAGATCATGTGGGGAGTAGTTGAGGCAGCATCAACTGTCAACACAGCCTTGCAAGGAGTGCAGGGGAGGGTCCTAAGAGATCTCTGGTGAGCACTAACATTTTAGGGGAACCTGGAAAACTGGGGAGACCTACCTTGAGGTGTAGTCCCTCTGGGTATGCTGTTCTTTAAAAGCCTTCAGTTTGGTTTATTAGAAGAGAGTATGTTTACCCATGCCTGGGAGATGGGTATAGGAAGACCTTGTCTTCATTTCCTGACTGAATCTTAGGACGTTTGTACTCTCTCCCACAAGTATGTACATGTGGATAGGAGACTGCTCACACGGCTTTTGAGGGTTCCCAAGTATGAATTAAAAAAAGGAGAAAAATGTGTGCTTTGAATTACATCTATGTGAAAAAAAAAGAGCCAGCTAAGCCATGCGCCTGGGACACTGGCCTCCCTCCAGGACTTCAGGAGAGTTGGGTTTCAGCATGTACAGGGAGAAAGGGCTCCATTTCTCAAACCTGGATTTCCTTGTCTGTTTTCCCCTATAGATATGAATCTGAGCCCCCAAATGTCCTTTTTGATGAAGGAAAGCATATACAGCATTGCTCAGATTGAAAAAACAGTTTAGATCCAAATATTACCATAGGTTTGGCTCCTGCAAGAATTTCTTCCATTGCTTTGGACCAATAAATATTTAAAAAGTTAGGTTCTGAGCTCCAGAAAAGCCAACAAAAACATTTAAGCATATGGATTTTTTTTTTTTTATTGTGGTTAAGCCACACTCAGTGGAGATTAGTTTACAACAGTCTTTTCTTTCTCCCTTTGCCTTTTCCCCCCTTTTTCGTTCTTTCTTTCTTTCTTTTAGGAAGCCAGAAGGATAAACATGTTGCCATGGAGTTCTGTTTAAAATAAAATACAATGGAAAGAAAAGCAGCATGATGAAGTAACCACATGGACTGCAGGATACACCTGATACTAATTACTGTCATGCAGAATGTTCTGGAAGACATTTGACTCGCCTGATGTATACATTCAAATCAAGCAAAGCAGGACTGGAAGGCTCCTTGGGGACCATCTTGTCCAACTCTTTCCTTTTTCCAGATGAGGAAATAGGGGCCCAGAGAGGGGAAGGGCCTGGACCTCAGCCTTCCAGCTAGGAGGGAGCAGAGCCCAGATTCAAACCCGTGGTGCTTTTGCGGGAAACATAATTTCCAGGGTCTTTTACCTTGGCCTGTCAGTAAGACCCTGAAATAGATGAATGAAGTTAACTGTTAACCTCAAAGGAGCCGGCTTAAGAGCCAGAAAAAGGCAGAGAGGCTGACCTTGCACTGGGAGGCCCAACTTTCTTCACGATGCCAGGCCTTGAGGACAGAGACTGGACATTGGGTGTCTGTGGCCTCCAGGAGTACCCCAACCAAGGCTTGGGGCTCCTACCAGAGCATCAGCTAGCGTCTTTGGGGGTGTGTGTGTTGCAGTGCTGACGCCGGACGAACTGTTTCTGTGTAGTTTCCAGGGCCCCAAAGTGCGTGGCTCGGGATGCTCTCCGGTGGCCGGCTCAGATCCCTCGCATGGTGGGTAAAGGAGAGCCCCACGACAATGCTCACCCCTCGCCTCTGCCCCCCAGAGGCTAGCAACCGGGCCTGCTGGTGTCTGATTGGTCGCGGGGGCCTGACAACAGGGGCTTCTGGCTGCTGATTGGCCCCGGCCAGCTCCGGCTGTTTCCTAGCTATTAATACCGTGGCTAATAAACGTTCTCCTGTTGACGTGGGTGCTCGGAGCCATGATTTTTTGAAGCGTTCTTGACGTCTGTGCCTGGTGCAGGCCTTTCTGCCTTGCTAGTCCTGCTTCCGGGGCTCTAGTCTCTGGGGCTCCTTGCTTGCTCCACCGGCTGGAAATGGGGTTTTCTTTCTCCCTCACATTATCCGACACATTAAGATAGTTCCCCACAATGCCCCCAAATTCCCAAATCTTCCTCTCCTCAAGAGTGCCCTGTTCATATGGAAATGTTCCCCCCCCCCACTCCCCCATCCAAGGTTCCATGTCTCTGAAGACCGGGTGGTCAGTTTTTACCTCCCTTGTTAGTAGCGGTGGGCTGAGAAATAGCCTTTCTTTTCAGCTCCAGAATCTCCTGTCTGTATTAGTCGCCTCAGGAGATCTCACGGGCATGGGGGTAGGGGATCACTGTGAAGCTGTTTGAGCCGCTCAGAGGTTGCAGCGGAGCTGTTCTAACTTGAAACCTTCTGTAGGGGCTCTTCTGTTTTACTTTTTGGGGGCTCATCAACTTAGGCTCACCCCTGTCACCGAGCACTCCGTTTCTTGTCCTCCCGGCTGCCACCCACCTCACCCTAAGATAGACCCTTAGTCCCTTTCAACAGGATTTTGACCTTTGAGAGAGGACATTTGATTGACGGCTCTGCCCGCTTGGCCACTCAGTGCCGGACAGAGCTGCCGAAGGCGCCACCTGTTAAGGATTAACTCTCGTGTGCCAACTCCGGGAGCATGAGGCCGTGTGGCTCTGCTCTGCCGAAACATGTGTTGCTGCCTGTTTCCCGGGCTGGAGTGTGTGAGGAGTTCTTTCAAAGTGCATGTGCGGAAAAGTCACCCCAATTTGGGGGGAGTACCCCAGGCATCTCCACTGGGACCTAGTCCTCCCTCGCGAAGTACTTTTGTTACAGCGACGTGGCGTATGTCTAGATTCTTGTTAACAACCCTGGTTACGGGGGTACCCTCTTGTTAAGGTGGAGGAAATGGATCCCGTGCGAGAGAAGGAGACGTTAAAGGGTTCTGGGTACCCAGGTTGTAAGCGGCAGAGCCTGGGACGCAGTATCAGTTTTCTCTGACACCGAGATGCTGTGTTCTGTCACCCCTGTCAAAGATAAGACCAGAAATGGACCGGAGGGCTAGAGGGGGGTGACAGCCGCCTGCTGAAAATTTGGAACCAGTTATCTCGCCCAGGGTGACTTATTTTCCTGCACAATAAGAGAAAACGTCATTTTCTTTACCTAAAGCCCGCATCCTCTGATAGATGTTCTGAAGTCGCCAGGTGTGTCATCGCTGCCCCTGCCACCCCCACCGCCCCACTTTTAACCTCTGTCCGCCTAAGGACAACCATCCCTTGGGGTGATTTCCCAACAAATTGTGCCCACAAATCTCCGTTCCTTGGGAGCAAGGCTTATACAGGGTGTTGGTCATGGCGGCCAGGGGCACTGCGGCAGAATTTTTTCCTCTCTTCTTTGCTGCAATCTGGGTGCGGCTAGAGCAATTTGTCATAGAATCTGGGGGGCTCATTTTTCCGGCCAATCACCTTTGGAGAAATGAGCGCATTGCAGCAGAATGCGCTGACGTCAGAGACCACCCCTTCTGCGCTTCCACATAAACCCCACCCAGCCAGCCCCTAGCGCAGACAGCAGAGAGCAACGAAGGAGCTCGCCTTGGCTCGCTGGCCAGGGCCGGAGCTCCTCAGGAGAGCCGAGGCGCCCACGCGAGAATCCCGCACCTGGTGAGTGGGTGGCCATCCTTGCCTCAAAGGATGGCAAAAGGAAGACAACATCCCCTTCTGGGTTCGGCGCTGTCCTCCTGGACATGCCGAAATACAGATGCCGAGGACCTTCTCCCGAAGGCGGCCACTTCGCCAGGTCCCCGAGCATCGCCAACGACATTCTGTCAGGAAGGAAACTCTTTAGGCACATTTTCTTGGGTGGGGGGATATCAGAAGTCCTTTCTCGTCCTATCCTTGAGGGTAGGCTGGATGGTAGGGCTTTACATTAAGAGGACAAGGAGGATCTATCCAACCTCTGTTGAATTCTGGTGTGTCGCAGTCTTAAGAGGTACAAAACCTAGCATTTCTGTGTTCGAAGCCGCCTTCAGAATCGCAATAATAGTGGGAGATATGGCGGAGATGCATTCTGTGAGTCCCAGAAATTAGTGGGGCGAAGGCACCATAAGAGAGGGGTCTCCCGGGAACATTTTCTCCCTAGGTTTTGGCCAGGTGTTTGGTGGGTGGGACGAGTGAAAGTCCCTATTTGGGAGGGGTTCCGAATCCTAAAACATGGGTTAGGTGCAGAGCGGATTCCAGTCAAAATTTAGAGTTAAATTTCTAACTGACATCACCTGGTCTTCCCTGGGCGACCACTCTCACCAAGGAGAGAGATGGCGGCCAAGTGCAAACCTGCTGGGGGCCCCAGGATCTGTTCCTACAAGGGGGGGCTGAGCGGAGGGGAAAGGAACTGGGGGCCGGGCAGAAGAGATGCAGGGGGCGGGTTGGGGTGGAGAAAAGGCCGTGTCCTTGGGTCTCGGGGAGGAGGGAGGTGAGAAATGCAGAAAAGGGGGTGTATTGAGGGGGATCCTGGCGTTGGGAGCTGAGAATTGGGGGTCGGGGGTCTTTTCACTGTTGAGTGGTGGTCGCTGGAAGGTTCTTACATGTTGATTTTTGGTTAAGTCGCCTTTGGCTATTTCCTTTGTCCCTATCAAGTCCCCCCCACCCTGGCTGCCCCCTCCCCACCCTAGGCTGGCGGGCTTGCAGGGTGGGGGGGGGGCGCGCGCGCAAGCAGGCTGCTACGTGGCAGGTTTCTGGAAGGTTTTCTTGCTGGCCGCAAGAGGGCGCTGGTGGCACTGCGGAATTTTGGGGGGCGGGGTGGGGAGGGGAGGTGGCCTTTGTTCTCCTGCTGGAGGGGGTCTGATGCGGGAGTTACTGGATGATTCTGGATTCATTTACTTAAGGGGAAGTGTTTTAAGATTCCCAGATTTGTTGGAGCTGCCGCAGGATTCACCCAGAGCAGAGATGCTGTGGTCCGCACTGGCCGTGTGACTTAGGGTGTCGTAGGGGAGCGAGGACGCATATTAGTTTATGTTCAGTGGTCTTTGGTTACGGGTGTCTTAAGAAGGTGTGGTTTATTGGAGCAGGATGAAGAAGCTGTAGACTCCACATGTGGGGTCAGAGATTGTTGCTGTGGCAATGGAGGCAAGATCTTGGGGGGTAGCATGTCCGTGCCCGAGGGTGAAGGAGGGTCAGGATGATATATCTGCCTTAATATTGTTTTCTGGTCATATCATAGCTTATGTCGTGTTTTCCGAAACAACAAAAATGAATGAAAATGGTGTATTGACACCTGGGTCTTTATAATTGGAATTAATTTGTCTAATTGGATTTACTGAAAGTGGGAGCTAAGATTTCTCTGTTTTTACTTATCAGAAGTGGACTGGTGCTCTGGGAAGACCCTTATGGCCGGGATCTAAATGATACCCTCACATTGCTCTGTTGCAGGGTGACCCTTGTGGTTGGAGGCGGGGGTGTAGGAAGCCCCCTGGACGCTTGTGGGAGGGTGCTGTCCGATGTCCACAGGTGGACTTTGGCTGGTGGTGGTTGGCAAGGTGCTTAGGGGACATAGCGGCGCTGCTCAAGGGACTGGGTGGGATGTGCCTCCCTCCAAGCCTCAGACCTGTTGGGCGCCCCCTGCCCATCCTACACCAGCCTCGCACTTGGCAGCTGCGCACTTTGGCGCGGGCGGGGGAGCCGCAGGTGGCTGAGCTCTTGGGTTCTAGGTGCGGGCCGCGCGCCCCCTAGCGGTCTGTGCTTGCAAATGATTCACAGCCCGCTAAGGGGGGGGCTCTGAGTGACGCATGCGGGGCTCTGAATGGCGCATGCGCACACAGCTAACACTTGTGACCTGTCAATCAACTCATCTTTACCCCCTCCCACTCCTCTTCTTCCCCTCCCATTTCTTCTCTCTCTCCTCTCCCTCCCATTTCTCCTCTTCCCTCCTCCCATTTTTCCTCTTCCCGCCTGCCCCTCCCCTTGATATTCCTCATCTTTTTTCCTCCTCCCCCTCCTCTCTCACTGCTCTCCTCTTCTCTCTCCCTCCTCCCTCCACACCTTTCCCTCTTCTCTTATAACTCCTCCCTCCCTCCCCTTTCCTTTCCTTTGCCACTCCTCCCTCTCCCTCCTACTGCCTCCTCCCACTCTTCTGCTCTTCCTTTGCTGGCCATTAGAGGTCATCAAACTGGTTTCTGATCTGACCCCCCTCCCATGCCATAGGGTCTCTCTTCAGGAATGAAATCATCTGTTGACCTCCTTGTCTTTGAAGACCAACCCCCCTCAACGAAGACCAACTCTCCTCAACGAAGACCAACCCCCCTCAACGCCAAGCTGCCACCAAGCTGCTCCTTTACATCTTAAAGTACTTCCACCCCTCCTTGTGGCATTTCAGGTACAATGTGGTGGGTGGATTCCCAACCCTGCCACTGGCCTTGCACCACCCCCAGGCCCATTAGTAATTAAAAGACAATTTAAAATTTTAACTAATTAGTTTTAATTATTATTAATTAGCTTAAATTATAATTAATACTTTCATACTCGAGCTTTTAAGCAGGCCCTCTAACCTTTGGTCAATTACAGAGGACACTAGATGCACGGATTCCTGGATCCCGTCAGGAATACAAAGCAGCCACAAGCAAATCCCCAGAACCAGGACAGCAAAGGATGAAGGGGACCAGAACTGACCAGCCAGCTGTCCCACTCAGCTAAAGACATAAAACCAATGCCCTAGTGAGGGGGCATTGGTCGTTAAAACCTGACTATGCCTATACCTTGATTCTCTGTCTACTTTCCTGTACATCTCTGCCTGTGTTAACCTGTTTGCTAGCTAACTGGAGTGTTTCCCTCCCCAAGGGGGTGTCAGTCTTTCTCGACTGACTCTGTTGCCTTTATGATGTCCAAAATGGAAGGATCTGTTTGAGAACTTCTCAGGAGGGGGACCTGGGCCAAGGGCTTGACAAACATCTCACTGGCAATTCCAAGGCCCTGGGTGGGCTTCTGGAATGAGCATGTTACTAAACCACCAAAGGCATGACCAACCTCTTTTGAGGTCTCCCTGTCCTTTTCTAGGGAATGGGGATCATAGAAGCAACCTCCTAGGGTTGTTGTGAGAATTAAATGAGATCAAGCAGCCTCAGGCAGGGTTGGTCAGGAAATGTTTGTTGAAAGATTGGCAGGTCAGTGGTCCCCACCATTCCCACCTCCTCTCACTTGTCTTATTTATTTTCCAGCAGTATTCCAGACTGCCCTTGTCCCTGGGGCTCTGCTTGCACCATGGCTGTCAGGCCGACCTGAGTAAGAATACAAACAATGCATGTGGCCATTTCCAGAGCACTTTCTCTGTGATACGAACATGTTATTGCTATGTAATATGTGTATGTAAATGAGGCAGCCTCATTTCTATATGAGGATGAATTTGGTACTGATTTTCCTTTTGTAATTTTACAAGGTGAGTGAGAAAGAGAACCTGTAAGACATGAGTGCCCTGTCCCATAGGATGGGACTTATTTACCTTTATAGTAAGGAAACTGACACTGGGGGGATCTGAGTGTTTTGTCATATTGCTGGCAAGAGGGGCCAGGGTTGGATCCTGGGTGTCATTGTGTCTGCCTCTAACCCCCTGCTGCCTCATGGCCCAGAGTTAGACTAAGAGCCCTTTTATTTCAAATCCGACATTTGACAATGAGACATTCTGTTTGAAATCTCAGCTGCCCAGGGTGGTCTTGGGGATCTGGGTGGCCCCAATGCTGGTACCATGTGCTGGCTTCACCTCTTAATAACTGTGTGACCTTAAACAAGTCGCTTAACTTCTCCAAGTTTCAGTTCCTTTCATAGTCTAAATGGGGATTAAAAAAAACACCCCCATTTATCTACCCCACAGGGCGCTTTTGAAGAACAAATGATGTAACTACTATGAAAGTGCTTTGTAAATTGCTGTCTAAATTGCAAGATACTTAAACACCCAAGGTTGCCCCTCATTGTTCACACACATCCATCTCTATTCTCCCTCAGTAATGACAGTTAGCACCCAGTGGGTGCTGTGTGTGTGCGTACTCAATAAATAAATTGCAGAAGAAATAAAAACTAATTAATTCAACAAACATTTTCTGGAGCGCTGACAATATGCCCAGTGCACCAGGCTAGGTATGTGATACAAAGATAATGAAAACAGTCTCTTGGAAGCTAATTGGGGTCCTCATTTGACCAGCACTTTCTTTCGTCCCCTTTTAAGCCAACCAGTTTTGTCCAGACAAGACAAAAACATCTCAGGCCTCTTTAGAGAAGCCCAGCTTGGTGTAGACAATAGCTGCCGGGCATCTGAAAAGGGCTGATTGGATTATGTGGCAAATGGAGGTGCAAGGATGACTTGGAAGGTGACAAATGAAGTGGGCGGAGACCTGCTTTGAGTTAATCCAGGCTATTAGGAGGAGACCTTTTGTCTTCCAGAGACTGGCAGGAGCTTTTACCACTGGTTTTTACATCCTTAATGTTGAAGACGAATAATTTATGGTCAGTGAAAATTCAGGCCCCAGTGAGATTCCTGTTACCAGTGAGTAATGGTAGTGAATGTTTATGTCACCCAGTGCAGTTTGCAGAGCCTTATTTTTGCAATCATCCATTCATTTGATCCTCACAACTCCCTGTCCTGATGCAGGATCAGCCTCCACCTTACAGGGAAGCAGAGGTTGTCCAGTGGCTCTGCGGGTCAGGTGGGCCCCCAGTCCCATTGTACCCCATTGCGTCTTAAGTTTTAGAAGTGTGCCCGACTCAGTCCCGGGCGTCCTCCACCAGGACTTCCTCTGCATTTCTGACTCTGCTATCTCCGCAGCCTGGACCTCCCCAGGTTCCTGCTGCTATCCTTTCTAGCCCCCACAGTCTCTGTCTTTCCTTTCACAGCCCGGCTTCTTGAATCGCCTCTCTACACTTGCTGTCTTCCCTCCTCACCTTCAATTTCCTCTTCAGCCCACTGCTTCCTGACTCGCTCTACTCCGTGGAAGGGCTCTCACTAAGGTAAAGACTCTTCTGTAGCTTAACCCTTGACATGTTTCCGGCTCTCGAACACACAGACATGTTTCCATTCCTTCTCTTTCTTAGGGCTTTGCGGCTCCAGTTCATTTTTGTTTACATTCACCCCCCCCACTTGGTGTCACAGAGACAACCTACATCCCCCAGGAACTCCCATACCCAGGTCTTTCAACCTCTGAAACCTGCCTCTTGCCATCTTGCTATGTTGCTTTAAGTGCTCAGAAGTTGGCTGACCTGGGTCAGAGTCCTGGTTAAAGTACATAATGCTGAGACCTTGGGGTAGGTCGGTCAGCTTTTCTAAGCCAGTTTTATCTTAGTTGCAAAATAGGGTTAATAATCCTTATAGCAAGTCAAGTGAGATCTCCCACAGGTAAGTACCAGACACTATTTGATGGACTTGAAATAAAGTCAATAAAGTATTCATGAGAAAATACAACTGGTGTCACCACTAGATTTTCCCATGGGGTGGACCAAACAGAAAAGAAAGTGGAGAGGGATATAGAATAGAAAGGAGAAAAGAATAACTTAAAGGATTAAAGGCAAAAAACAAATGTAGGGAAGGGGATTTAGAGAATATTAAAATATATCAAAACATCTAGAAAAAGGATTCCTCTTATGTTAGGGTGGGCTAAAAAGAAGTAAACAAGAAGAAGGTTTTAAATTTATTATCCCAACGACAAATTCCAGGAAGCTTTCAAATCAAATTGCCCCATTTTGAGTTTTTAACTTCTTCTATCAAGTTTAACCTCTTTACCTCTTGCATTCTAGTAAACTCTGTCCCTTCCCTGCCGCCCCCTTTGCTGGTGATTAAATCCTATAGATACACGAAGTATTTTGGTGAATGAATGGGCAACAGAAAAGAGCCCTTTCCTCCCCCCAGCTGTGTTTTTCAGTTTTATTTCACGTTCCGCCCTTTTCCCTTAATGAACACAGGGCTAATCTTGGGCCTTGTCGAAGGAAGAGGCTGCAGACGTTAATGAGGGAGCTGCTGGATTCCAATATTCCTCTCATAAGGAGCTGCCTTTGTCTGAGAAGGAAAAACACACTGATTATCATAATGAGGTGAACTGGCCACTGCAGGGCAGGGGCTACACGGGCGCTTAAGCCACACTTCTAATTTTGGTGCCAGAGCTGACAGTCTTTTGCTCCTCATTTAAGTCTCTGCCTCTGTCTCAGCTCAGAGTCCATTGAGGGGGGCTGGAAGTTGAAGTCAGCTTGGGACACAGGGCTGCAGCTAGGGTTGCATTGTAGAAAGTTTCTTTGTTTGACCCGCCATGCAGATGCAACTGGCCCGGGTATTCATTCCCTCTTTCCAAGAGCTGAAGGTCAGGGGTTCCACTAGTGATCAGTTCCCAGCTCTAGTGCACTCATCTGCCTTGTTTCAGGGCCCACTGAGAACATCCTAAACTTAAGATGAAATGGTTGTAGGTAGAGAAGCAGTGGCATGGTTGCAAAGTGAATATCCAAGGAGTGCCCTGCCCAGGTTACAAAGTAGGTAGATCTTGGCACCCCAAAGGCCTCCTGTGAAAGGGTATGGTTTGGGGTTCAGATGTAGCATAGTAATGAGATTGGAGCTCAGGGGGCAGTAATTTGTCAGGAACAATCAGCCAAGGGGGAGATTAAAACAAGCAACAAGACTTGTACTTAGTCTTTCCCTCATGTGTCCCACACCTTGCCTAAATTCTGATCCTTTTTTTTTTTTTTTTTCCTGATTCTTGAACTCTCTGAGCCCAGTAAATCTTTAGAGCAGGTGTGTCCCGAGTCTGCAACTTGGCCTTATTTGTTCCAAGCTCTGGACAGCTCTTACCCCAAGGCAGATCAATCAAGATTAGATCACTCCAATTAAACTTTAGGCTCTAGCCAGACCTTTAGCCAAATGGAAAAAAACAAGGGGAGAAGGGAGGTATTTGGAACAAGAAAATGTTATTAGTTAAAACCTTAAGGGGCCTCCCTCCCTGATGAATCTGTTGGCTAAAGGTTCTCTGGCATCACTGATCAGAATTGGATGTTCTTTCCGAGTTAACAAAACCAACTTTATCCCAGCACCCCAATAAAGAGTGTCAAAGGATGTCCAACTGGCTGGGGCAGAGGCCTGAAGTCACCCCCAACCCCTTGTGTGGAGGTGAGACAATGTGCCAAGGACTGAGATGTTGGGACTATGGCTGGGACAAGGGTGCAGACCTTTGAAACTGGACATCACTAGAGAACCTATCCTTCTCTCTAGGCAGTTACAGGAACATAGGAAAATGGAATAGTTCTGATGTTTCCAAGTGAGAGAAATTAGCCTCAAGACCCTCTTCATCTTAAAATACATGTCAATAATTAATATAGGTCCAAAGGCCCCTATTAATGTCCTAATAGCCCCCTGGACATTTGAGAATGTAGGGTAGGTGTGGATTGACTGTAATCAGCCAGGATCTTCCAGTATCTTCAGGGTTTTGTGCTTGAGGCTCCTAGAACCCAACATGCTTATATGCTGAAACTGCCAACTTGCATTCCACACCTGTGTGGGTGTCTTAAACTTTTCTGAGGCCACTAGCAGAGGGGTCATTGAGTGTAGGAATGAGGGGGATAGCTTGCAGTCCCTGTGCATAGGGCCTTGCCCCTACCTCTGTTTTTCCAGTTCAGGGTCTTGACTGCTTCCTTGGTTTGTCTACTGACCCTCAGAGCCCACTGGTCTCTTAAACATCCATCAAGAAGCCTTTGGAGGTGCAGGAGAGTAGGGTATATACAGCAGAAACCAGATGGGAGAGGACTGTGGCCTGGAAACTTACCCATCACTTGATTCTTCCAGGAGTTACTGTTCTGCACTTGCTGCTTTCTCCCTCTACCTCTTCTGCTCTCTTCCTCTCCATCTCTTTCTCCTTCATTCTCTCCAGTTCCCAGTTAGGCCCTCTTGGGGTGCCCTAGGCCAACCCTGCCCCTCCTCTGAGTGTCCCAGTGCCAGCCTGGCACAAAGTGGGGCTCTGTAAGAGTATGTGGGATGTCAGTTTGGACAGGTAAGTGAACTGCAAGGACTCGACTGCTATTCCCAAGCAGCTAGGTGGGCAGTTGGGAGCTCTAGGTTAAGGGGTGGAGGGAGTGGGTAGCTTCTCACCCAGCCCCTTTTGGATGGGGGCCTTACTGGTTGCGTCCCTGCGTTCACCTGCGCGTCTATTCCGTCATCCAACAGTTGATCCTTACTGAGCATTCCCACAGCTCTGGCTCCAGCCTGGGCACCTGCCACTCTAGCCTGTCCCTTGATGGCCTCTGCTTTCCCAGGAGGGTGGGCTGGGGGGTTGCTTAAGCCAGGGGCAGCCTCATGGTTGTGTAGGTGCCAGAACAGGGGACTCCTGCTCTGTAGAGGGCAGGCTAGAGGGTGTGAAGGGCAGTCCTTCGGGCTCTGCTCCTGGTCAGAGCCAGCCCCTCCTCCCCTAGGTGCTCCCCACCCTATTCCCCTAGCTGCACTGTCCTGGACCCCTTGCCCTGAAGCTATCAGGACTGAGGTGTGTGCAGGGGAATAGCAGTTATATATGTCCATAGGCTTTGGTCACACGGGTCTCCCTCTTGAGGTGGGGTCTGTGACTTGGACCTTTCCTTCCTGTAATTCCTTCCTCCCCCTGGGGCTAAATTCAACTCCTTTGCCTTTTGGTTGCTGGCTGGGGCCAGTGTCCCATGCAAAAGATCATGGGCTGGGGACCTCCAGGGAGCATGTGCAGGCTTTCTCTCTGACTGGCCCTTCTGTTCTGCTGTACCTGGTGGTGCCTCCCCTGGTCCTCTAGTGGCCACATTCATTACCCATCTGGACTCTGCTTGTTGCCTCTCCATATTATGTGGGCTGACCCACCTCTTTCTCTGCCTGGAGCCCTGGGTTCATGACCCCCTGGGGTTGCTTGCCCAGCCCTGTGCCTAGTGGGAGGGTCTTCCTTGCCCAGTTCACACCTATGGTTTTGTGGCCCTTCCCCTGGGTCTGAGCTCCCCTCCCCAGCCCAAAGAGTTAGTCTGCCCAGTGTAGTCTGTTTCCAACAGGTTCCTTGTGTTCATGGGACAAGCCTGACTGGTGTCTCCATCTCCTGCCAATCGTCCTCAAATGCCTCCTCCTGTGGGCCTGCTCTGGGGTCTGAGTAGCTGTGGGCTGTAACCAGATTTACATCCTGCCCCTCTGGCCTGGGAACTCTGGCAGTTGTGCCCTGGTGGGTATTGCCCCTGGCCTGCCTCTATTGTCACTATGTCCCCAAGAATCCTGAGCTTTGTCCTGGCCAGGTGTTTTGCTGACTCCTCTGTTCAGTTTGGGGGCATCACTTAGGCTTCTCTTCTTGTACTTTCTCTTGTTATTGCACATACCACATGAGCCATTCATTCCAACACAAAGCAAACTGCAGGTGAGACCATGCGCTGTACCCTTTTGTGGCATTTATGACTTCTGTGGTGCTTGCCTTGTGGTGATTCTAATTCTCTCATCTTCCCAAGGCTGGCTTCATCCTCGGCATGTAAGCCATGATTTGGCTGGATCAACTCAAGACCTGCGGATAGAAGCGGCAGAAGAGCTCTCCTCTGGAGGCCCTGCACCCCAGACCTGCCCATCTTCCTGCTTGCCTCTAGCTGCTTCCTGGTTTGGGGTGAGTTTCTTGCTTTCTTGGGACACCATGATTTCATGAGGACACACACACATACACATGCAAAAGAGTGTAAACATTTTACATGCGAGGGAGGTAGTCTACCAAGGTGACTTCTCTTCTACATCAACTCTGGGGATCTGGGGGCCTGGAAGCTGCCTGGAGTGGAGACATTTGCCATACTGAGCCAGCACGAATGGGGGGCCACCTGGCTGATCTCATGCTGTGGGCCCACAATGGTAAGTTGGGAGTCCCCTGGAATGGCTTAGGTTAGGCACAGACTGGGTCCTCATTAAAGCTTTACTAAGCACTTTAATAACGAAAGGGATCTAAGGTGCATTTGCTCTGCTGATCCTATCCTAGCCCATTCAGAGATGAGGAAAGAGGAATGCTTGTCTTCTCTGCAGCTAGGAAAACACTTCTCCCTGCCAGTCATGACAGTGTCACTCCCTGTGAGACTAGTGGTTTCTCACACATGCAGCTTTGATAATGTCCTTTAATCACATAGTGGTTTTTGAGCAAGTTCTTCTCTTGGCCTCTTTTCCTCACCCCTGAAATTGAAATGAGATGGGAATGTTTTTGTTTGTTTGAATAAAATCAGTAATGGTCAACAAGAAAGTAGAGGATCAGAGCCACATGATACACTCGAGGTTTATTTGTGGTTTACTTGTTCAAGATGCATTAATAGAGCCTCCAGGGCTTAGGGCAGCGGCTGTTCAAGGGGAGTAGGGGGCCTAAGACCAGGCTCTTTATTAAGGATTAGAGCAGCAGTTCTTGACCTGTGGGTCATGACCCACAGGAACTGTATTAAAGAGTCGTGGCATTAGGAAGGTTGAGAACCACTGGATTAGAGGGTCCAGTTGGGTACCCTGCGAGGTT